ATATTCTCCTGATCAATTTTCTTGCCACCTTACCAAGGGCTCTGACAAAGCTGTAACTTGCACCCCAGTGAAGCGAATGTGCACAGCCATTTGCTTTCACACTTAACAACCCTTCGCTTATGGCTGCGGGAGCATTCACAGCGCATCCAGTGAGTCAATGAGGCCTAGCAGTGACCTTTGCAGACCACACTGCATACACTCTACTACACTTGCACATAGCTCTGAAGACAACAGCACTCAACAGAACTGTGCATCTTCTCACATACTTTGTGCATTGTCCTCGTTGAGAGTTAATATGCTGAAAAACAGCTTGGCTCTGTGCTAAAACTCTGCATGCATTTCTGCTTCAGGCCCTTCTTCCTGCAGTATTTGGAATTCTCCATCTGTTTACAACAGAAGCGTACATGTATTCTGTTCCACCCAGGCTACTGACCGTCCACTTCAGTGGGATGTCTCCCAAATACCAGCAGACTTGTCAAGAGCCAATTCCAGATCTCCACAGCCTGAATTTTCTTCCAGATTCAAAGCACAATGCAGTATCTGAGATGGGGCTTGGTTAAGTCGCCTTATCCCCACAAACTGCATGATTTGCTTTTCAGCTTCATGTCAATCAAATTTTTATATCTCCCAAATGACTTTTTGTATCCTCAGCTTAAAAGCCCATTTCCAAGTTTTATTTTAATTTGGATTACAGTAACAATGTTTTTCTGAATTTAGAGTTAGCTTTCTCTCGGTAAAATGAAAAACATTAAACATTGCAAGCGCATCAGAATTTGTGAATGCCAGAAATAAAACTACCTTCTGGTCCTCTTTCTCACTAATACCCACTGTTAACAGATCCAGAGCAATATGATCCTTATTCTTCTACTTTTCTAAAGAACTTCAGCTCCAATCAGTTTTCTAATTTCATGTTCTTCTAAGTTCTTTAGCCTCTGTGTACTCTTGAAATCATACGGAATTCAGAAATCACCCTAGACCCAGCAGCTTGAAAACAGGTCCTCTTTATTTGGAGACCAGCTCCACCTATGCTTTTATATAAGACTGCAAATCCTATTCCTAATCCGCATTTGGAGTCCTTTCTCCAAACTTCCCACCTCTGAAACTCAGGTATTTCTAGACAATTCCCATTACCACTGCTACCTGTACCACTCCACGATAGAGAACTGCTAAAAGCAATTCCTTCCCTGTACTCTCCAGGTACAGAGAAATTCCAGAGATGTTAACTAGGTTTGCAAAGAAACAAACCACAAACACAAATAACAAAAAATGAAGCTTATGCATACCATTCTTGCTAAAAGTCAATAGTACTAGAGACCATTTTAAGCCTCAGTCTGAAAAACAAACTTACTCTTTCACAAAGCTATGCTTCCATCTGAAATGCTAAGCAGATTAATCTTAAGGGAGTGAACAGAAAGAGCATGAATCTCTAGCTCACGACTCTACCACAGCTGATGGCAATTCACACTTTTACTCCATTTCTAAGCACAATTCATAACTGTCAAATTATGTCAGCCCTGACCCACAGAATTGTACCCAATCTCTCTGAAATATTAGGAGCAAGGTGTATATAGACAATGCACACTTGTATAACCAAGATGCTCCTTAGTAAAGTGCTTAGTTCTCAGCGAGAACATTTCTCTCCAGCTCTGAAAATTACACCAGCAGCCAGTGGATTTCTAGGTGTAATTAACTATATTAGAGTTTCATGTAACAAAACTAATTAATTGCATCTTCAAAACCTCTATTTCAACAGCAAGATGGCAGAACCTCTCTGAGGAATAGAAACCTGCATTCTTCCAACTGCTAGTCAAGGATGTGGAGGAAAAGTCTTTTTATTTTAGTTGGAAGCAGAAATAATCACTGTATCACTCCTCAGCAGGTTGCCATGCTTTTGCAGTGATTTGCAGGCCACACTGCCATGCCCTACTCTCCCCGTTCATCGACTGTAAATCAAAAAGCGTCAGAGAAGGAAGGAACAATCGGGAGACAGCTTACAAGAATTTTCACAGAATTTGATGTAGCATTTCTCTTGAATTTCTCTCTTGGGAATTTTGCAATTAATGTCAAATTCAAATATCCACAAAGCATTGCTTCAGAACATGGCTATAACTTATTTTTAGTTAAGAAGTTGAGTAACAATTGCTTTGTATTACAAGCTGTTGGCACAGAGTAAACAAGGATGCTTTCTGATTCTCTGTAACGTGCACATTAAAGATTGAAGAACACAGTTTCACCAGGTTTCCTAAACTTCTTTCTACTGCATGCTGACCAAGCTGCAAACAGATTTTCACTAACTGAATACGAACACAGTAGCCAACGTAAAGACAGTGTACTAAGAATTTTATAAAGTTTCCTACTTCAAGCTCTATTTTCATTTTGCGTGTCCTGAAAAGTATCACAAACTTATGAAGCAGACTTACTGCAAAATTCAAGACAGAAGAAATACCTGTAGTTGATCTACTGATTTTTATATCTAGATGAAGGAATAATATTTACAAGATTAAAAGTCTTATGCTTTCCAAGCTTGGTCCTACAAACTGCACAAAGATGACCAACACACAGCAGACTGCTGAAACAATACTCAACAATATCTCACAGGTAGGCTCTTTAACCAAATTAATTCAAACTGGTCTAGTTGTGACCCTGTCACACAGGCAGAAAGCTGAAAGTCCAAAGCAGTCACAAACGAGACATTTTTAACATCTTTAAACATGATGTGGGAAAGCGGAAAACAGCAAATTAGTTAGCAAAGCCTGCTAGACTGCATAGATTTGAAAACGTGGGGGAAAGGTTTCTGGAAGCTAAAAATACATGTGCAAGAAAGATGAAAAAAGCAACCTTTAGAATACATGCAATCCATCTGGAGAAAAATAATCCAGAACTACAGCAGATGAGAAAGACAGGAGTGCACTGATGTGGAGCAAGTCTGAAAAGCAAGAGTGGCAAAAATCGTACAAAATTTTCAATTCACCATAACAGCAAAAAAAGAAAAAAACAACAGTTTTTGACTGTGTAAGTAAAGCCCTGTAGTCCAAAAAAGCAGAAAAAAAATACCCTCTGTGGACTTCTGGTAAGACTATGCTTATCACATTACGTACGTTTAAACATATCCCAGAATGAGGGAAAGGAAAAAAAAAATGAAGGGTATTTTTGAGAGATGTCAGAAGAGAAAAAAAAATGAAAGCTGGAAGATTGAATTACAAGAAAAGATTAAAGGAATACAAAGCATTACTTTGAAGATTTAGACAGAAGCTTACTGATTTAGCTGGCTAGAAAAAACGGTCTCCAAAACGAAGGACTAGATAGAAGCCATAGCAACTGGAGTTGAGAGCAAATGTAAAGACTGGATGAGAGGAAAGAATCCTACCATATAGCTCTTTATGGGAAGAGACACGATTTTAGCTAATAGGACTTCTCAATCCTAACTTATTATGATATGGTAAAAAGCCTGTAGGAAGGGATATTCCCATATCTGGCAGTAAAAGCTACGTATGCCACCAGCATCTTAAAATAACTGAAAAAAGAAACAGTACCAGGGCAAACTAGACATTCAGAAGGATCTAAAAGGATACTGAATCCATGTAATTAATGATCTTATCATATCCACACAGCTTTCACCAACCATACCTGCTAACCAAATTTTGCTTTTCTCATAAATGCTTTTAAATTTCTGCCTCTTGCCTTAAGAGGCTCGTACCAGAACAGTAGCTCAGAACCAGGGCTGAAAAAAATGCCAATTAGTGCACCAAAGAATATCCTCATCATTTATTTTCCCTTGCATTATAACATGGAGCAGATGATGATGATAAACAAGAGTTTTATATCAGCTGATAAAGCAGCTCATGTAATGATGCAGCTGAGATGACGCTCTCTGAATCATGAGCAGTCTGGACAGCAACTACAGAGTCTGAAGGTGAACCAAGCAATCTATCCCAGAGACAAGTCTCTCCCTAGTGCTGGGGCATTAGATGAATGGCTCAGTGCAGCCCTTGTACAGAGGCACCTTTTAAAACAGAAAAAATTGGGGAGAGGGGGCAGGAAACAAAAAGCTGCTCATAGAACAAATTCCACTATGATCAAAGTTATCCCCACAAGCAAAAAGTTTTGAATAGCTATTTTTCATCTCCTGCAACAAAAGTGGATGCTTGGCCTAAAACTTGAACCCAGCCCAAATTTCAGCTTTAGAAATTACCTAGTTCTGCCTCCTCAACTCTTTGTGCACTATCAAGTGGACAAAGCTTTTTCCATCCCAAACTATCACTGAATAGCTGTTAGGCTCCACTGATGAACAAAACAAGACACACAGGTTCTTTTAACTAGATTTGCCAGTTTGCAAAAATACAAAGGTTTTTCCTCACATACCAAATGAGTCAGCATGGGTCACAGTTCAGTTCCCCAACAAAGCAAAAGTACAGAAAGACAATTCCATTGCCAAAACAGGCCTACATACGTATAGAAAGTTCATTAATAAATAGCCAGTAAAATCCTCTTTGAGAAAAGTATGGTAAGCCTCACCTTCAGTCTGTGAGTATGATGTGAAGCTTGGCTCCTACCCTTCCTGAAACCACTGGTGGCCGCTCTCCTGGAGGTCAGCTGCTTTTAGGAATGTTAGTAAACAATCCTGAAATCTCAGCTGAAAAACTCCCTCAGCAAAGCCAACTGTAGTACCACAAGCAATATGCGTATTACCCTAACAAGCACAAAAGACCCACTAGGTACTATGAGTGATATGTAGACTTAGGATACCACACATGACATGGAATATATTTGCTTGTAATCATATCTGAAACCAGAGTAGATTCACAATTCTGTTATATTTATGTTCTGCCATGTTTGCATACTTCTGCAGTAAATTCCTTCATGTGTTCATTTTTCAAGTAGGCCTGGAGCATGCTACCTCTTTGCTACCATAACCCAGCAACCACCTACTATGCTAGAGTCAAAAACAACACAAACATCACTGATGAAAACACACAGAAACAGAATGCACATACACTCACCCTCATAGAGGTTTCTCCACCATGGGGCTGTTGCAGCCTGAAGACTTGAGCAACCATGTGTTCTGTGGACGGGTGCAAGAGGATGCGTCGGGAAGCCAGTCCCACCATTACGTATCTGCCCATTGGAGAGAGGCTCACAGAGATGGCATTAGGACCTATAAAGAGAAGAGGAGCTATTTCTCTCACACATTGACATCCCTTCCCCATGCCTCATCCTCACAGCTTCTTCATTCCCTTCCAGCATTCCCATAATGTACAGCATACTAAGCTCATCCTTATAAGGGGTAGAGAAGAAGACCTGCACAAGAACAAATTTTGTGAGATGTTTCCTTGCAGAAAGTGTCCTCCCAATAAGACAATGAAGTTCCTTAAGGAATAAAAACCTATCCCTTAGCAGCTCCCCCATACCAGCACCTTATATGTCTAGACTGTATCACAAGCTCCTCCCCAGCAGTACTATATTTGTGGCTGGCTGGAAGGTCAACAAAATATTTCCTGTAACTACAATCACCAATGTTCAGACTATTGCATTTCTCACCAAAGGCTGAGTTCTGAGGTAACTTCTCACACTCCCACCCACCCCAACTTCTTGCTGCATGCTTACCAAATCGCTTTGTGTAAAGCATCTCGCCCAAGTTGTGGGGTGCCAGAGAATACACAGCCAGTATTCCCTCATCAGGGAAGCCTCTTTGACTGCTGGGAATGAAGGCTGCCAGCAGTTGCCCATCAGCAGAGATATCGCAGCTAGCATCGTTGTAAATCTTGCAGTTTTGAACAAGCACGTTCACAGAGGCTGCAAAGAAGAAAGGAACAGGGATTAAAGCACTTGGGTTCAACAGAGAATAAAGCAAGATTTAAACCTAACATTAGAGACTGGACAGTACATGCAAAAGATATTCACGACATTCAGCTTCCTCCAAAAGTTTATGAAACATTAATACCCTGATTAATGTAAAACTTGCTCCAAAACGGAGATAAGACATTGCAGTGAGCCCAGGGAACGAAATCTACTCACCTCCTGGAGCCTTCGGCCAAGAAATAGTGGCAATTGCACTTTATCAAATCCCTCCTTTGCTGAGTATAACACCATCCTTTGCAAAGGACAGTATAGTTTAAACAAGCCCCAAATCGTGACTCTGACAAACTCCAGCAGTGGTATCATTGGAAACAGTACACCTTAACTCATTTCCCCTTCTCTTGCAGAGCCCCTAGTTCCAGTTCCCCTTATCTCCAATAAACAGGAGATGAGAGAAAAATTCCTCCCTGCGAATACAGACATTCATTTCTGACAGCTGATTTTTACACCAATCTTGCATAAAGCTAGCCAGAAAGGGCAGAGACTTCTCCAGCCAGTCCTCCATTTAATTACTCCAGTATTTGAGACACTCGTGCAATCAGTGAAGTAACTGTTCAGCAGACTGGGTAGTGAGCAGCAATTCATAAAATGTAAGTTTTACTTTAATCTCTGCTGGTGAGTTGCTGGGTGACCTTGTACAAAGCTTTTCCCCTCCATGCCGTGTATACACAGCTCATAAGCTCTTTGGGCTACTGCATCTTACTACGCATGTGTGCCATTCCTAGTACAATAAGGTTCGAAGGCCTTTTAGCTTTGTTACTGCTAACAGTTCAGTGGTGGCTTGATAAGACAAGGTTGCAGTTTATGTTTGCTCCCTCAGCCTAACCTAAATGTGCTCCAGTGTTTCACTAAAACTGCTGCAATTATTCCAGGAGGTTTGTAGCTGACACCGCATATGCTATTCTGGGGATGGGGGAATTTCATATTCTAGTATTTTCAAATTCAAGGGGATAGAAATATTAAAAAAAAAAATAAAAATCCCACATTTGCAGTACAGAAGCTCTGTATGCTAGAATACTGAACACAATCTCGCATGCTTGAAGCTACGGACAACTTCTATGTCAACTTCTACAGTCCAGGAACTTTCTTCAAAACCTTCAGACTGCGCCCAGCCTAGAAGTGGCTCTGATTTTTTCAGCTAAAATTGCAGATGAGTTTATGAAGGCACTTTTTGGGCTAGATTCCTTATTAGTTTAACAAAAGAACAGCGCCAAGAATGCTTTGTGCATACTTTTGAAAGTCTGAGCTTCCAAATTAAATTAACTCTGTAACTCAATGCTTTAACAAACTGGTGCTGCTGCCAGAAGAAACAATCTCTGCCCTTTGTTTTCAACATTTCTGTGGCAAGAAAGCTACACCAGGGAACCGATATGGCTGAGAAATTACTGACTGTTGCCTAGGTCACTTTTTAGCCAGAACAGTTTCCCAATCTGGTATGCCACATGGCCACATAGACTCTTGCAGCAGCAGAAAAAGAAGCCATCACAGGGAAGTAAGACAAGACTGCTCCCTCTTCCAGCACTGCGGATTTAAAATGCTCACTGAACCTCATCTTCAGTTCTTCCGGTCTCAAAGACATCTTTCCTGCAACTGCTCTCCTACACGCTTGAGTATCAACTTCTACTGTTCCATTTAAGAAACTCCGATGAAAAAGAAGATGAAGATAAAAAGTGGACTATGTAACTACATTCTGTACCAAACCACCTACACCTGTACTCTAAATTTATTCATCCATTTTTTTCAGTCCTGAAGCTGCTAAAAACAGTAATTTTCAACCTAGTATAAACAGAAAGGTGCTGAACAGAAAGAAGGTAAACTATGGTAGTCACTGTCAGTGCTGTAATAACAGAATCTAAAACACACATGGCACTTCAAAGAACAGACGGTTCAAGAGATGACAAAATCCCTGAATGCTTAGTTTGAAGGTAGTTGAACAGAAATACAACAAAATAAAGACTATACAACCTAATTCTAAAGAGGCAGAATTAAAATTTACCCCTTAAAAAAAATCTAGGCTCAAATCAAGTACTTATGTCATCACAAGAGAAGATGGGCCTCAACAGAAGAACTGCAGTGTATACTGTGAACTACCTAAAAGATACTTGACAACAGGTTGCACTATTGTAATCCCTGTCAAACTGGGAGGTTTCCTGCAGAATTCTTCAGTGACTCATTTCAAAACCAGTCCTATTTACTAGCTTTCCAATGAACTAGGCACACAGTGGAGTTGTTTGATGAATTTTGTTGATAAAGTTGGGTAATTTCATTAACAGAGCACACTTACATAACACCAGTGCTGATATATACAACCTTGTGCTGAGACTACATGCAGGATACTGGGCACAGTTTTGGTTATCCCCAGTCAAGAAAGACTAAACCTAAACAGTAACAAGACCAGCAAAGAGCTAGGAAGATGACTGAGGGAAATGAAACATATATTTTATGCTTAAAAAAGAGATTGCAAGGAAATGGGATTGTATTTACAAAAAAACCCAGAAAGTAAGTGCCAGAAAAACATCTGTTCTCTTCACAAATCATGTCGACGGGTAAGTGGGTAAAAGCAGCCATTAAGTTTGGAAATTAGAAGATTTCCATAAGAATAGCAAGATTCTAGAATAGTCTTTAAACAAAAGTGAAAGGGGCAAAGAATTTAACCAATTTTAAGACAGAGTAAGAGGAACTATAGGTTGTGCTTGCCTAAAACAGCAGGGAGCTAGACTCAGTGGCTAAGGGGGTCCTTTCTCACCAACTGCTTTGTAGTTGTAACCTAATCAGCATTGATCTAAAAAGTCTAAAAGACCAAAGGTGTTGGTGTCATTTAGCCCAGGGACCCTTCTGTATTGATGAACTCCTGACGCTTTTCAAAGAACTGCAAGAAATTTCAGAGGGGACAGATATTGATGTCTCTGGGCACAGGTGATCTTTATTCCTTGTTCCTATAACTACTGAAATCATAGTCTACAGAACACGTCTCTTTCTCAGCTTTTAAAGTTCAGGGTTTTTTTAATCTAATGCAACCTTGGACATCCATAAGAAAAGAATCCTCCATCTTTATTTTTGTACAATAAGAAATGCATGTATTTCTTCTGTACCATCTACAGATTCAGGGATATTGCCTCCTCTTGTATATATCCTTGCAGGTCCATCGCTATTTTTTTCCTTTCTAGATCTCTAATCCTCTTTCTCACCTAACATTTACTGTATGTCTTTTTAAAACAATGTTGGGATGGGATCACTAATCACCAAGAGTCTGTTTATCATATAGCACATGTTCACTCATTTTCTATCTACTTTGTTTTTCCTCCCCACCTCCTGCTCCTCCTTCACTATAGCACAGAGGATTTTGGTGAGCAGTCCACAGTGATGAACAACATAACTGCGTGTCTTGTTCTTTTTTAAGTTTGTTGCATATTGTGAATGCCTCTCTGCAAAACAGATTGCGAGCTCCCCTGCCGGAAGCGAACTATCTTTTCCTCTTGATGTGTGCCTGGAACATAAAACATCACAGATGCAAGCTGTACTGAACAAGAAAGAGCCCCCTTTATTTCAGACTTTTAAGATCTGATTCACACTGGCATAATGGTTCTTTGCTCTCCTCTCATTTACAAAGGATGAGGGACTCAGGTAACACACCTAGAACCAAGGGAGCCTACTGTGCCAGCAGAAAAACTTTAAATGCGAGAGGTGGAGATCTCAGCAAGGTTTCATTTTAAGGAACAGCCTCTAAGAGATTCCCAAGACATGGCGATGATGATGGATGAAGATACCCATGCATTTGACAAAGCCACAAGCTATTTGATTTCTTTGAGCCTGAGGCCTGATCTATGAAAATGAAGTCAATACAGAAGGTTCTGGGGGAAAAAATTGCTATTTTCGGAAAACCATTTACAACTAGGCTGCCCTTTCATCTCTTATTTTCTTTTGTTGTTAATGCAGCCACCGAGCTGACAGAATAGATCACAAGAAACATCAGAGAACAAATTAATCAAGTTGTTGTGCCAACTTGGAGCGCTTACACCTACAGCATAATTATGCTTGAAGCTGGGGAAGGCCTGGAACACCGGCAGCAACAGCACTGTTTGCCAAAAGAAAATGGTGCTGGGTGCATCACGACCTCCTAGCCACCCTTAAGGATGACACTTTCTTAACTGCCTCCTACTGTGGATCAGTAAGTATTGATCAAATCTCCTTCCCCAAGTCCCAGCCAGTGTTAGAACAGGACAAATTCCTGAAGCATGACTAAATGCGGAAGAACTGGACCAGTTCAGCCACTATGGCAGGAAAATGAAATAACGAGCAGTGAGTAGCATGAGAAAAACTACGTTCAAAAGATCTAAACAAGAGACAAAACCTTCTAATATTTTATTCGTGGAAAGGCTATATTCTACACTGTTCACCAATTCAATACTTACCTGTTAGCTGTGGGAAATTTTAAGGATCTGCAACACTTACTGGAACAATATTACATAAATGGCAGAGATTGCATTGTGTTTGCTGCCAAATAAATTCCCCACCCCAAAGCTGATACAACTAACAATTACAGTTTAAGACCAGGTCATGTTCATTTCAGAGTTATGAAGAGGAAAAACTGGCAAAAGGAGAGAAGAAATCTGACTCCATCTTTTTCCATTTTGCAATTAATGAAGACAGACAGGGCAGACACTACAATCCCACAAGTCCCCTGCAAAGCCATTTCCCCAAGACCGCCGGAGTCCTCTTTCGTACGCTTGCGGGATCGGGCACGGCGAGGTTGCTGCTGCGGAGCCCAGTCCCAAGCCCAGGGCTCCGAAGGGTGCTGGGGCCCAGCCACTGAGATCACAGGACTGTGCTAATCACGTTGCTGTCACTTGCTCAGATGTCTCCGCTTCAGTGGAAAAATCCAACTTCCAAACTGTCTTTTCTTTGTTTAACTGTAACAGGAAGCAGAGCTCTCGGAAATGGAGGTTGGCCACAGACTCATTTCTCTGATGCAGAGTAGAGCTGGCAGGCAGTCCCGAACTTCAGCTGCATCATTTCATCTGCCTGAACGTCCAAACCACTTGTGGCTCAAGTCAGCCCCAGGAAGTGCAATAGCCCCCTCTGTGTAAGCAGACTCTCTCACATGACCACCTCTAATTTACAGGAGATGATGGAATAAAAAGGAGCTAATGAGGTCACAAGCTTTACTGGGAAAATAGTTTATTTCCAAGATCATGAAGAGTCAGAGAAAGCTCCTCCAACCCACCACTCCCCTGTTACACCTTTAGCTTCACAATATCTCTACGAATTTGTGCACCTTGGCAAACTTGCAGCTTGCCTTTGTTCTGTGTCTAGTCAAGCTTAGCAAATACCTGTTGTAGGATGAGTACAGCTGCTACATCTTCATACATCCCTAATTAGACCTTGGCAGGGGAAGATACGGCGAACAACCTAGAAATGTCAGAGGTAGGCTCAGCACGTAAAAAGGAAGAAGCAGAGTAAAAATGGACATGGACAAGCCAAGTACTATGAAGCACAAAGTGCGGAGTCAGAAGGGCTGGGGACAGGCTTGTAGCGGGAACCCTGCCTCAAAGACAGGCACAATGACAACAGAAACCGTAACCCAATTTCCAGTTAATTGGAAGCTATTTCAGAATTGAAGTGTCCTGGTAGGGGAGAGGGAGAAGATTGAAATACTGATGTCTTGACTAGCAGATGGTTCTTATTTTCTAGAGTTCCATAAGTTATAAACAAACATCTTATGCCTTTTTTTCCACTTTAAAAAAAAAAAAAAAAAGGCAGCTTTCTCCTCCGCAGCCAGATGAGGCAGAGAAATTCCCCTTTAAAAAAAAAAAAAAAAAGGCAGCCTTCTCCTCTGCAGCCAGATGAGGCAGAGAAAAAAAAAAATTGCTATTAGCAGCCATAGCACTCTTCAAGCACTCTACAAGCTTGCAGAGAAGTCCCAAAGAACTTAAGTCAGCAGTAAGATGATTCCCCCTCTGACTTCATCTTTATTCTGTTCCAGAGTCTGGCTGGACCAGGGAAAGTATTGCCACCGCGTGGCAAAACTTTGCCTTGAGCACTTATCCTCAGCCTACAACCTTACACTAGTACTACAAAGTTTGGCACTTAAGAAGACACATCAAAGCACCAGCACATGAGTTCAACAGTATTCTGCTTTCAAGATGATACTGCATGCTCCTTCCCAAGAGACAGAATGGTTCTCAAGGACAAAATATAAAATATCCTCCTGCTTTACAATGTTGAAGGATACCATCTAGAAGCAGAGCTTTTATTTCCCACCAGGCTATAAACATTGCACCACAATATTCTACACAATGTGAAGGAGGGAGATGAGACAGAAACACCAGATACTTTATCTCTTGGAACGACACAGTAAGAAAGCTTTTTGTAATGGGATGGGCCACTGGGCTTTCCCCCAGCTCCTCTAATTTCCCATGGACCAGGAGGTAAATGGCCCCATACAGGTTGCCCAGAGAAGTTGTGGATGCCTCTTCACTGGAAGCATTTAAGATCAGATTGGATGGGGCTTTGAGCAACCTGATCTATAGAAAGATGTCCCAGCCCACAGTACGGGAGGTGGACTAGATGAGCTTTAAAGCTCCCTTCCAACCCAATCCATTCTGTGATTCTATGTTTTTAATTCCTATTATCTCTGCTACTATGGTGTTACCACATGTGCTCCTTTCGTGGGTTCTTTCAGCAACAGGACAGTACCCAACAGAGACCTCTCTTGTCAGACACGTAACTTCTAGAATTGCAAAACAGACAGGGCTGGACTGGGAGAAACTTTTTCTTAATTCGTTTCGGTGGCCTCCTGTGAAAGCAGAAGCCTTTCTGAAAACAGAATCCCTTTCTCCCCAAAAAGCAGTCAGTCCCTTAAAGCAGAACCCAATCTGTTTTTGCTGAGAAGTCAAGCAATGATTTTCACATATGCACAGGGATGGCCTAAGCTAAAAAAACACTGTACAAAGAAACACTCATGAATATCTACCTCCTATCTTCATCCCAGGCTGCCACAAACGTTTCTGCAATTGTACAGCAAGCTATATCAGTATACCATTCTGGGTTAAAAATAGCTAGTTTTAGCCCTGTAAAAGTCATTCCTTGATCAGCTGACCACAAGCATCAAATACACTTATGCCTGCGTAAGGAAGTCTCTTCCAGTGCAAGAGCTAGCTTACGCCACAGAATGTATCAGGAACAGTGTGGTCAGCAGGAGCAGGGCAGTGATCGCTGCCCCTGTACTTGGCACTGGTGAGGTCGCACCTTGACTACTGTGTTCAGTTTTGGGCTCCTCATTACAAGAAGGACATTGAGTTGCTGGAGTGTGTCCAGAGAAGGACAACGAGGCTGGTGAAGGGTCTACAGAACAAGTCCTCTGAGGAGTGGTTGAGGAAACTGGGGCTGTTTAGTCTGAAGAAAAGAAGGCTGAGGGGAGACCTTATCACTCTCTACAACTACCTGAAAGGAGGCTGTAGTAAGGCGAGTGTTGGTTTCTTCTCCCAGGTAACTAGCGATAGGACAAGAGTCAACTGCCTCAAGTTGTGTCAGGGGAGGTTTAGATTGGATATTAGGAAAAATTTCTTTCCTAAAAGAGTGTTCAGGCATTGGAACAGTCTTCCCAGGGAAGTGGTGGAGTCACCATCCCTGGAGGTGTTCAAAAAACGTGTAGATGTGGCACTTCAGGACATGGCTTAGCAGGCATGGTGGTGTTGGGTCGATGGTTGGACTTGATGATCAAAGGGGTCTTTTCCAACCTTATTATGATTCTAATGTAAAACTATGGTCTAATTTTCACAAAGGGAAGAAGAGAATAAATAAACAAATAAAATCAGCAGTACTGCTCACATTCTTGACCCAGAAGCAGCTTCAACCTGAGTTATGGGACAAATCGCTGCTTTTCCAAATGGCTAGAAGCTACATCTACCTCCCCTGGATTGCAACACTGCAGTAAGCAACAGACCAGCGCCCTGATTCCCCAAATGTGTTGCAGCACTTTAACCCACACTAATGTCAATCACTTTGAGAATTCAGACCCAATTTATTAGCAGGTTCTACTGTAAAGGTATAAAGACAATATCCCTCTCGAAACTTGTTGGTAAAAGAATAAGCAGATTGGATACAGAATTCTTCTAAGAGGACTGTATATTCTCATAAGAATGCTCACAAAAAAGCCCCATTTATGCACGGATTTGCTGACAGCAAGAATGCACGAGCTAGACAGAGCAGGAACC